TCTGTTTATATCAGATGAATAACGGAAATAAATGTAATGTAATGTAATCCAACACTACTTGACTGCAATACAGCCATATCCACATACTAATGGGGAGGCGTTTGTAGACTATGCTGAAAGCAAGTTTGGGACCACTGCAGTTATCCCCACCTTATTTACGTTTTTCTCCTCTTCTGTGATCCGCATTGGACACCTCGGACATGGCAAAAAGGAAAGAAGTCCTAAAAGCACCAATGTCCCTACTTTAAGTTGGTTTTGATTTCAAGCCCTTTGGCATGTTTGGAACATGATCAAAATGCAGGGTAATAGTGGTAGGTATTCACACTACACCAATGCTACACATATTGAAATTTCGCTTGACTGGATCCAGTGGGAAAGGAGTTATGACTGAAAAGTACAAGTGAAGAAGCACTTAGCGGAATACTTTCGAGCGCTACTGTACTTGAGGTGTCATCACAAGCATATCAAAAGTTTTGAGCATCTCGTCTTTCTAATTTTCTGAAATGCCTTTGGTACAAGGTTTGTGGATATGTTGATGAAAACACAGACTCTTATGTAACTCTTGGCGAGGATTTGTTCAATGTTAGAACGATTGAGGACGACGGCCTTGTCTCCGGATTTAGAAAAGCAGCAGGGATAAGGTGAGCAGTTTGTTGGCAGCATGCACATTTCACACAGTTTTTCAGGATTTTCCGTCAGTGTTGGGAACGCAGACATCTTGTGCCTATTCGGCACTTTTTTGTAGAATGCCTCTTGAAGTTGAAATAAAACAGAGTCACGCGCAAATAAAAGCAGGACTGAGGAGTTCACTCAAACAAATGTCAAAGGAGGTTTTCGAAGGTTCTAATAAAAAGAAAGAACACCGTGCAAAAATCTCAATGATGGCGGGAAGCAAGCCCACATTTTACGCCTGTGAAGCGAGACCACTATCGCTACGATATCGAAGCGACGAATTCGCATTTCCAATTGACACTACTGTCAAGCGAATTTCGAGCACCTATAGAGAATCCACTTCACAGCTTCGATTCCATATTCGTGAACAGCACTCAAAATCTTATCGATTTATCTGGGTCTCCATTCATGGTAGGTAAACTACCCCTCCCAGATGAGGGTTGAACAGTTTTCCTATGTTAATTTTTCTTCAGATTGTAAAAACTCTAAGCATGACGGTAGACACTAGACACAGTATGTAGAGATTCAGTCCTGAACTGAAAGTTGCGCTAGGCGATGGGATTATTGAAAGAATTCGGGAGAGCCCATCAACTCGAGAAGTGTCAAAAACTACAAACACAGTGTTCGTTAGATTGCGCTCGCACAAGGCTTCTAGGGTCTCTCTAAAATGCGGTCCTTATAGAGGAAGCATCATTTCACGCCACGAACAAGTAATAATGGCTTCGCTCACAACTAAACCTAAAGCAGAACCATCTCCAAACGTCATACAGCAATCCTGAACAGATCGCGTATAACATTGTAGAGCAATGGAGCACAAAGCTCAAGGTATATATATATATTTATATGTTTATACATAATACATATAATATATATGCATATATATAGTAGCGCTCAAAAGAATATATGAACAGAATATATAATATAGATAGAATAGAATGTATGTCATGGTCGAAAAGAAATCACCTTGAACCTTTTTTGTCACAACTCATCTCGAACTCGATATTTTTGACTGATTTTTTGGCAGC